GAGAAAAGGAGATCCTTGCACTAATCTTCAGTCTTACTACTCTGTAAGAAAGTATTTTCTGCTAACAGTGCTACGAAAGCTAAAGCCACAGCACACGCATTAAGTTACTACAATATGCACTCAAAAAGTAGATGGTAGTTGAATGCATTAGCTCTTTTGATCTAGGACAGTCCTAGACAATGACATGGACAATTCAAGAATAAGTGCACCTGCTGCAGCCCTCTGAAAAGCTTTAGCTAAACTAGATATCACACATTTACAAAGAATAGACAGATATTGATAATGAAAAAAGTTTTAGTTTTTTGTTGCAATATAATCTCTGATTGCGCGAGAGGGGAGTGGACTGAGTCGTGTGCAGATTTGAGCGAGGAAGCTAACGCTAACTAGCCGGCTGTCTGCAGATTAATGCGAAGAAATGCCAAGAGCATGGGGAGAATTACTGAGCGGACTTCACAAAGCTGGATTTCATGGTTTTCCATTGTTGCAGCATCTGGTAGTGTTATTGCACAACTGTTTTGCATGTGTGAACCTGAAGAAATTAAAGAATTGTAGTCTTTTTGAATGTTGCAGGATCACCACTGCTCCACATCATCTCTCCTACAGCTCAGCTCACCTATATCCAAGTGTGTGTTCTTCTCCTCTTTTCACCAAATTAATCAACCGTAAAGCATCACCAAACCAAGAGTAGCTCCTGAAGGAAGCAGCCAGGGATGCACTCGGCAAATGAGCCAAACGAGCCAACGGCCGGCAGTGACGCCATCGAGGAAACCAGCGAAGAAGACTCGCCTTCATCCAACACTGCACTTTGTGATTGCTCACTGATACTTCCTCCGAGCGAGGTGATCTTCTGCTCTGTAATCATAGCCTGTTTTCCTAATGCTATTTCAATAAAACATGTATTCTAGGAGGAGGAGGAGGAGGAGGAGGAGGAGGTCTCCAAACAACAGCTGTTCCACCTCTGTCCTCTCAGATCTGCCAGACTCAGGGGGGAATTCTGACAGGAGTGGGGGGCAGAGGAGAGGAAAGAAAAGAAAACCGGGCCATGAAACTGAAGGAGTACACACCCTTGATCCTTGATTTACTCACAGAGGGGTGAGGGGAGGACATGCAGCTCTAAAAATACCCCCATAAGGAGATGGGGAGGTTTGGGTGAGAGGTGGAAACGGGGGAGGAAGAGGAGAAGAAGTGAATGCTTGTTTCTGCTCCACTCACTACTGTATAAAAACATCATAAGTTTCTGCATCCCTTAAAACACACCTCCCTCGTGACCTTAACTAGGAAGCTTGATGGATTCATTTTTATTTTCAACAAGGGGGTGTGCTTCCTCTCTTCCCCATCATCCCTCGGTCAAACCCTCCCCCCCCCCCCCCCAC